ATTTTGGTGCCTCCAGATTGGAAACAGTGCAAACTCTGGAGCCCGAATAATTATAATTATAATAATAATGACTTCTCTCTCCCCCTTGGTTCTTCCTTCCACATCTTGTTTGGTTTCTTGTTGTTGTCATGAGTATTAAAAAGGAGCCAGACTGGACGAAGGGGTCATTCAGTGGTCTAAGCCCTAATGCAATTGGGGCAAGATTAGTGGAGATGCTCAGACGGATTTGGGAAGGAAAAGGAGGCTTGTTTTTTGGAGGGGGAGAAACAGGAGGCGGCCCCAAAATGCCCAGACTTAAGCCTACTACTGCCTTGGTGATTGAATTAGCCCCCCTCCTCCCGTAAGCCCCTTGTCTGGGGCCCCCAAATGTGGGCCAGACATTAAATCTCGGCCTCAGGGCAAGGAGAGAGGCAAGGCCGACTTTAACTCTTCTAGGTGAAGGGCGAATGGTGGAAACGGGAACTTCCCTTTGTTTTCTAGCATCTAAGACTGGATCTAAAATCAAGCAAATCACCCAGCAACACATGGAACTTACCTGTTTTCTAGCAAAGGTGTCTGTAAGAGTGGATCTAAAAACGGGCAAAACACCTGGCCCTGAGAACAGTATGGGACAATTGCATGGCTGAGCTAAAAATGGGCGAAACACCCGGCCCTGATAATGTTGAACATCTAATGCAGGGGTTCTCCACCTTCCTAATGCCGTGACCCCTGAGTACAGTCCCTCATGTGGTGGTGACCCCCAACCATAATATTGTTTTCGTTGCTACTTCATAACAGTCATTTTACTACTGTTATACATCATAATGTAAATATCTGATATGCGGAATGCATTTTCATTTATTGGACCAAACTGGGCACAAATACTCAATACACCCAAATGTGAATGCTAGTGGGGTTGAGGGAGGATTGATTTTGTAATTTGGGAGTTGTAGTTGCTGGGATTTATAGTTCACCTATAGTCAAAGAGTGTTCTGAACTCCACCAGCGATGGATTTGAACCAAACTTGGCTCCCATGACCAATGGAAAACACTGGAAGGGTTTGATGGCCATTGACCTTGAGTTTGGCAGTTGTAGTTCACCTATATCCAGAGAGCACTGTGGACTCATGCAATGCTGAATCTGGACCAAACTTGGCATGGATACTCAATATGCCCAAATGTGAAGACTGGTGGAGTCTGGGGAAAATAAATCTTGACATTTGGGAGTTGTAGTTGCTGGGATTTATAGTTCATTACAATCAGAGAACATTCTGAACTCCACCAACGATAGAATTGGCTCAAACTTCCCACATGGAATCCCCATGACCATCAGAAAATACTGTGCTTTCTTATGGCCTTTGGTGACCCCCTCTGACACCCCCTTGCAACCCCCTCAGGGGTCCCGACCCCCAGGTTGAGAAACACTGGTCTAATGCATAGTTGTGCTCAAAATGGGTGAAACACCTGGCCCTGATAACAGTATGGGACTAATGCATGGCTGAGCTAAAAATGGGTGAAACACCCGGCCCTGATAATGTTGAACGACTAATGCATAGTTGTGCTCAAAATGGGTGAAACACCCGGCCCTTATAACATTGTACGGTTAATGCATGGTTGAGCTACAAAGGGGCGAAACACCCGGCCCTGATCACGTTATAGGGCCGATTCGTAGCCAGGGCCGCTCCCGGGTGACTCACTCCCGAGGAATTTATGCGGAACCCAACAAGGAACCCATGGCGACGTCCCCGACACGAACACAGTCCAGAGGTCGAGGGAAACGAGTTTCTGTTTGGGTCAACAAATGAGAGATTAGCCGGCTGACGACAGAAACCAAACTGGCTTGACTTGAAGCAGGTAACTGATATTACGACATTCGTTTTGCCCCTTTCACCTATTACTTTTTAGGACAAATTAAATCTGGGTTCTGACATTGACCTCATAAACTCTGTTTGGAGCATTGTATTGTTGAAGGCTTTCATGGCTGGAATCACTGGGTTGTTGTGTGTTTTCTGGGCTGCCTGGTCACGTTCCAGAAGCATTCTCTCCTGACCTTTCACCTGCATCTATGGCAGGCATTCTCGGAGTTTTTGATGTCTGTTGGAAACTTGGAAAAGGCCTCTCCCATCAACATTGTGTCTAATGACAAGTGATAATAGGGTTCTCAAACCCCTTTGGCTTCATTTTAGATCTGCCCCGTGGCCTGAGGAATGTTGCTTTGAGGACAATATAATATATAGTAGCTAGATTTGGCTCATTGGCGGAAATACGGCAACTGGAGGCAATTGTTTCCTGTCCGGAATTTGGGCCCTCCAGGAGTTCCCCACTTCCATAGTTTCCAACAGACCTCACAACCTCTGAGGATGCTGCCACAGATGTGGGCGAAATGTCAGGAGAGAATGCTTCCGGAACATCAAGGTGGCCAATTACAACAAGAGGTTTTTCTTCCACCCTGGACATTCTACAGATGTATTAACCCCACTTCCCTAGTTTTCCAACAGACCTCACAATTTTTACCAGCTGTCAGGAATTATGGGAGTTGTAGTCCAAAACACCTGGAGGGCCCAAGTTTTTGAGTATTGTTCTTTATTTACAGTCCTGCCCACCTTCTGCCAACCTAGCAGTTCAAAAACATGCAAATGTGAGTAGATCAATAGGTAGTACCGCTCCGGCGGGAAGGTAACAGCGGTCCATGCAGTCCTGCGAGTGGCCACATGACCTTGGAGGTGTCTACGAACAACGCCGGCTCTTTGGCTTAGAAATGGAGATTAGCACCAGAGTCTCAGACTGGACTCAATGTCATGGGAAAACCTTTACCTACCTAATACTGGGAGCCAGATTTTGTTCTTTTCTCCATCGTGGTCCCTGTGAAATCGCACCGATAACACCTCCCAACAAAGAATCCCCCCCCCCCCCCAGGCAGGAAGCAGCCAGGCTTTAAAGTTGCAAGGCCACTCAAGGTGGCCAATTACAACATTCACACTTGCCTCAAGAAGACGAGAGTTTTTTCTTCCACCCTGGACATTCCACAGATAAATCCATAGTTTCCAACAGACCTCACGATCTCGGAGGATGCTGCCATAGATGTGGGCGAAATGTCAGGAGAGAATGCTTCCGGAACATCAAGGTGGCCAATTACAACATTCACACTTGCCTCAAGAAGACAAGAGGTTTTTCTTCCACCCTGGACATACCACAGATATATTAACCCCACTTCCCTAGTTTTCCAACAGACCTCACGACCTCTGAGGATGCTGCCATAGATGTGGGCGAAATGTCAGGAGAGAATGCTCCCGGAACATCAAGGTGGCCAATTACAACATTCACACTTGCCTCAAGAAGACGAGTTTTTTCTTCCACCCTGGACATTCCACAGATATATCAACCCAACTTCCCTAGTTTTCCAACAGACCTCACAACCTCTAAGGAAGTTGCCATAGATGTGGGCAAAATGTTAGGAGAGAATGCTTCCGGAACACCAAGGTGGCCAATTAAAACATTCACACTTGCCTCAAGAAGACGAGAGTTTTTTTTCCCACCCTGGACATTCCACAGATATATCAACCCCACTTCCATATTTTCCAACAGACCTCATGATCTCTGAGGATGCTGCCATAGATGTGGGCGAAATGTCAGGAGAGAATGCCTCCGGAACATAGCCAGACAGCCTGGAAAACACACAACAACCCGTTTGGAACATCACAGTTCCTCTACTTCCCCATTTCCGTATTGAAATATCCTGGTTTCTCTCTCCTCCCTTTTTCACCCTCTGCTTCTTCCAGTTGTTAACTGGGATAGAATGGGATGGAAGGATCTAGAATGGAGTCAAGGATAAAACCCGGTTAATAAATACAAGAAACGGGTTTATTTAATTTTAGAAAAGGACAAAAAATGGAGAGACGGAGACAAAGGGGGGCGGGGCGGGAGCGGGAACCGGAACCATCGAGGGACACAATGGAAGGGGACCAACCGGGCGCAAAGGCTCATGGGATTACAAAATATGGCTCTTTGGACAAAAAAAGACAGGCCTGCCTCGTTCGCAGGAACTTCAAGTCAATCCGGGAAACAGAGTTGGAATATTTCGGTCCAAAACAACGTTAGGCACCAGGAGGGGGTGTCGAAATTTAGAGGCAATGAGGTTTCGGAAGGCAAAGGGGGCGGGGGATTCTGGGGTGTGTGGTCCCAAACAACCGAGATATGTCTGTATGTCTGTATGTCCCATGATCCAGGATATGTCCCACAGCCCGTACTCTTGATATTTGGGCAAAAGGGGGATTTGGGGGCCTCCCACTCCGCCAAAAAAGGGATCTCCGATGCCATCACAAAGTCATGGAGTCCAGGGTGGATTTGCTCACTTCCGCTTGCTGAAGCCTTTTCTCCTTCCCGGGGGATGAGGGTTGTTGCAGTGGCAGTCCAGCTGCTCAATGGGAGGTGAGCTCAAACATGAGGGTTGTTGTAGGACGTTAGCACCATTTGTGGGGAGAGGAGACGCCCTCGGAAATATCCCAGTCAACTCTTCGGTGAGAATCTTGGTTGTTTACGAGCAAGAACGTTCATTAATTCCGAGCAAGGATCTCTGCTGATTCCGAGCAAGAATCGCGATTAATTACGAGCGCAAATCTCCGTTACTCCGTTATTTATAATCAACCATCTTGGCTATTTTTTGAGAATCTCTAGTATTTACGAGCAAGAGTCTTGGTTAATTTTGAGCCAGAATCTCATTTACGAGTGAGAATCCGGATCGATTTACGAGCAAAAATCTCGATTAATTATGAGCACGAATCTCCGCTACTTTTGAGAACCTCCGTTGTTTATAATCAACCATCTTGGCTATTTTTGAGAATCTCTATTGTTTACGAGCAAGAGTCTCGGTTAATTTTGAGCCAGAATCTCATTTACGAGCGAGAATCCGGATCGATTTACAAGCGAGAATCCGGATCGATTTACGAGCGAGAATCCGGATCGATTTACGAGCCAGAATCCGGATCGATTTACGAGCAAGAATCCGGATCGATTTACGAGCAAGAATCCGGATCTATCCCCGAGTGACCGGGTTTGAAATGTGGACCCAGAGTGGGGCGAACACGGAGTCTGTCGTGTGCCCTGCGCTCAAGCCAGGATCTTCTGCGGGATCTCCACCGAGGCCTTGATGAAGACGGCGTTGTCCCGCACGTAGTTCCGCTTCTTGATGTCTTCGTGGGAGATGAACTTGGGGTACCCGAAGCCCAGGAGGCTCTCGTCCAGGGAGGCGCGCCCCGAGCCGGGCTTCTGGAAGTTCTTCCAGTTGGGGTCCGGGAGGAAGGTCTCGGTGATGTGCTGCGGCTTGGAGAGGGAGGGGTCGCTCTGGTCCAGGAGCGAGAAGGTGACCCGGAAGGCGAAGGGCCACTCCAGCAGGTTGTCGTACTGGCCCGGAAGGACCCGGATGTAGACCGAGAGGTGGCTGCCCTCGCCGCTCCCGTTCCCGTTGAGGAAGGCCGAGACCTGGAGCTTGTAGCCATAGCGGTGGGTGTAGAAGGGCGGGCTGAAGGACTCGTAGTTGCTCCGGGCCTTGGCCTCCTGCAGCTTCCGGGCGTAGTCCGAGATCTTCCAGATCAGCACCCCCTCGCTGCCCAGCGCCAGCTCCTCCACCTCGCGGCGCAGCTCCGCCAGCTCCTGACGCTGCCGCGCCACCAGCGCACCCATCATCCCCAGGTGCAGCTTGGTGCTCTCGTCCAGGTGGCGGCCCATCGAGAGCTTGGGGCACTGCGGGGAGAGACAAGAGAGAGGTGGACAGTCAGAAGGGAACCCAAGGAGGTGGTCAGGGGCAAGAATATAATATAATGTAATATAATATAATATAATATAATATAATAAATATCCATATCCATATAATATTTATAATATTATAATGTAATGCAATATAATATAATATATTGTATATACATATAGTATTTAGAATAGTATAATGTAATGCAATATAATATAATATATTGTATATACATATAGTGTTTATAATATAATGTAATGCAATACAATATATTGTATATACATACAATATTTATAATATTATAATGTAATGCAATATAATGTAATGTATATACATATATTTATAATATTATAATGTAATGCAATATAATGTAATGTATATACATACAATATTTATAATATTATAATGTAATGCAATATAATATATTGTATGTACATACAGTATTTAGAATAGTATAACGTAATGCAATATAATATAATATATTGTATATACATATAGTATTTATAATATTATAATATAATGCAATATTATCTATATAAATAAAAATGTAATGTTCGTTTGTGGGATTAACACAACTCAAAAACCACTGGACGAATGGACACCAAATTTGGACACAAGACACCAATCAGGCCAACAAGTGACCATCACTCATAAAAACACTGGAAAACACAACAGAAGGGACTTAAAAAGCCAAAAATATATAAAAATGCATTACAAGGCATGCACAACACCATATACAAGGCATGCACAACACACACAATCACACATATGAGTCACCCAAGGGCTGAGAAAAGCGGTATATAAATGAAGTAAATAAATAAATATATATAATCACACATATCGGCATATATACACAAACACAAACATATATACACATATAAATTAATAAATAAATCTGTATTTATACCCCAAGAGGACTCAGGGCGGCTTACACGAGGCCAAGCCCAACAATCACAACAAAGCAAATACACAGCATAAAATAATAAATCTATAAAATATAATGAAAATAATAAAAAAAAACCAGTACAAAATAGGCACACAAAGCAATATAAAATCACAATATACACAAATATATACACACACAAAGCACATATAGACAGACTGGGCCACAGCAATGTGTGGCAGGGGATAGCTAATAATAATATGTTGCTAGTAACCAATAATAATAATAATAATAATAATAATAATAATAATAATAATAGTATGTTGCTGGTGACCAATAATAAAAGGAATCTGCAAAGCCCCCCTCCTCCAAGGGGAAAGGAACCCCCTCAGCTGAGTTCTGGAGGCCAATGGAGACTCCACCACAGGTACCAGAAGACCAAGACCAAGCCACGAGAGTCAAGGCAAAGACCCTCCCAGAGGAAGAGTGTTCTCGCTAGACATCAAGGGAACTACTGACCGCATGAAGAAACAACCTGCAAACGATTTACAGACCCACCAAGAAAGTCCAACCAATGCCACGTTCAGCAGATGTCCTCTGCAGACTTCTGTGGCCAAGAAGTCTCCATAGAGACCTCCAAACGCAGACACGAATCAAGGAACATGGAAGGTCCTGCAGACTAACTCAACCAGAGAAGTCAACCACAGCAGAGCTCCTGAGGAACCCACCTGGACACAGCATACGATCTGAGGACACAGACATGCTGGACCAGCCTGACACCCACCATGTCGGACTACACACCAAAGCCACCGAAATCCACAATTTCAAGTAGGAAACCATGAAAATGGACACAATCTGGTTCCTAGTATTATAAAACTGTAAAACCAGGACTGTCAATAAAGAGCAACTTTCAGAAAACAGGGGAAATCCAGATAGGGAACAACCAGCTAACACCTCCCAACAGAGGATTCCCCCAGGCAGCAACCAGCCAGGCTTTGAAGCTGCAAGGCTATTCAGTGCTAATCAAGGTGATTAATTGCAACATTCATAGGCCAGAGTTCTTCCTCCCACCCTGGACATTATACCACAGATATATCAACCACACTTGCCTCGTTTCCAACCTCTTAGGATGCCTGTCATAGATGTGGGTGAAATGTCAGGAGAGAATGCTTCTGGAGCAAGGCCAGACAGCCCAGAAAACTCAGAGCAACCCAAGGATGGCCTTGTTTGTTTATTAGTAGGGATGCCCATCCTCTTAGGATGCCTGTCATAGATGTGGGTGAAACGTCAGGAGAGAATGCTTCTGGAGCAAGGTCAGACAGCTTGGAAAACTCAGAGCAACCCTTGTTGATCAGTAGGGTGGTGGGGCAACTCACCCGGTGCTTGCATCCGGCCTCCTTGAAGGGGCAGAGGGCCAGGGCGGTGGTGCAGCTCTCCTTGAGGTGGCCCCCCAGGTCCTCCCTGGCGACGCTGGGCACTCCGCACTGGTTGGGGCACGGCACCGGGTAGCGGGGGCACTGGTACTCGTGGCTCTGCCGGGGGAGCGAGGAGGCGGAAACAGTGAGTGGGCGCCCAAGAGCGGAAGATGTTCCCCTCCACGCAGCCACAAAGACATCCAAGAATTGAAGGCCAATCAGGGTTCCTACTAAATTAATTACTGGTTCTGCTCACTTTCCTGGGATCTCTGACTGGTTCCACCAGCTGACTGCCTTCCCTAAACTACTGGGTTCCCTTACTGGTCCTGCGAACTCACTGGGTTCCTTTACCGGTTCTACTAATGTAATAGGTTCCCTTACTGGTCCTACTAACGTACTAGTTTTGCTTGGTTCTACATGCTCACTAAGGTCATCATGGGTTCCCATACCAGTTCAGCTAACTTACTGGTTCTATTAATTTACTGGCTTCCCTTACTGGTTCCACTAATTTACAGGGTTCCCTGACTATTGCTAGCAAATAATAATAATAATAATAATAATAATAATAATAATAATATGTCACTAGTAACCAATGATAATATCTTGCTAGTAATCAATAATAATAATAATAATATGTTGTTAGTAACCAATAATAATATGTTGCTAGTATCCAATAGTATGTTGCTAGTAACTAACAACAATAATATGGTGTTGTTAGTAACCAATAATAGTAATATGTTGCTAGTAACCAATAATAATAATAATAATAATAATAATAATAATAATAATAATACGTTGCTAGTAGTCAATAATAATGTTTCTAGTATCCAATAATAAGTTGCTAGTAACCAATAATAATAATAATAATAATAATAATATGTTGTTAGTAACTAATAATAATATGTTGCTAGTATCCAATAATATGTTCCTAGTAATCAATAATAATAATGTGTTGCTAGTGACCAATAATAATATGTTGCTAGTGACCAATAATAATAATAATAATAATAATAATAATAATAATAATAATAATATGTTGCTAGTAACCAATAATATGTTGCTAGTAATCAATAATAATAATGTGTTGCTAGTGACCAATAATAATATGTTGCTAGTGACCAATAATAATAATAATAATAATAATAATAATAATATGTTGCTAGTAACCAATAATATGTTGCTAGTAATCAATAATAATAATGTGCTGCTAGTGACCAATAATAATAATAATAATAATAATATGTTGCTAGTAACCAATAATATGTTGCTAGTAATCAATAATAATAATGTGCTGCTAGTGACCAATAATAATATGTTGTTAGTAACCAATAAATAATAATAATAATAATAATACTATATGTTGCCAGTAACCAATAATAATAATGATAATAATAATATGTTGCCAGTAACCAATAATAATAATGATAATAATAATATGTTGCCAGTAACCAATAATAATAATAATAATAATAATAATAATAATATATGTTGCTAGTGACCAATAATAATAATAATAATAATAATAATAATAATAATAATAATACATGTTGCCAGTAGCCAATAATAATAATAATAATAATAATACTATATGTTGCTAGTGACCAATAATAATATGTTGCTAGTAACCAATAATAATAATAATAATAATAATAATAATATGTTGTTAGTAAACAATAATATTAATATGTTGCTAGTGACCAATAATAACGCCACCACCACCACTTTCTTTCTAGACTGGTTCCATTAGCTTACTGGTCTCACTCAGTTACTGGTCCCCTTCCTGGGTTCACGGAGGGGCTGCCCTGGTTCTCCTAAGGGGCCCTGGGGGCTGGGCTGCCCTCCCCCCTCCCCCCCTCCCTCCCCCCCTGGGTGTTGGGACTGACCTGGATGGTGTCGTAGAGGAACTCCTTGGCGCAGTAGGAGCAGGGCTGGGTGCGCTTGGGGCACTCGGAGGCCATGTGCTGGGAGAGCAGGCGGCGCATCATGCGGGCCCCACACTTGTTCTCGCAGTAGCTGCTCTCCTGCGGGCACAGCCCTTGGTGGCTCTGCAAATGGGGGGGGGGGGAGAGAGGGGGACCCATGCCGGGGATTTGCATACAGCGCCTCTCCTGCCTTCCACCGAAACCCACCTTGCGCTCCTGAAATGACTCACGAGAGCACCCTGCTTCCTGCCCAAAATGCCCGTGGCGTTTTTTGTGTACATGGGGACACAAAGCAGCAGCAGCACACTCCCCAATGGCTGGTTTTGGCAGCATTGCATTAAAAACTTGGGTGAATCAGTTACAAATGTTTGTAAATGCATTTCCAAGACCGTATTGGGAGAGGCCTGGGAAAAAATGTGACTCACCGAGTGGGATGAAACAAGAAGAGTAATAGCTCTTACCCGCCTCATTCCCTTTAGAACCCAAGGGGTCTCCGAGAGAGAGGTCAACGGATCTCTCTCTCTTCCTCCCTCCCTTGGGATTAGGCCCCACCCCCCTTTTGGCATAGCCCCGCCCCTATTCATGAGGGTTTTTCCCCTGTCCTTAGTCCCCAAAGCACCACCTCTAATCACAACAGACCCACCGGTAGTCTCCTAAGCCCCTCCCCTCTCCACCAAGACCCACCTCTATTCCCCAAAGCCCCTCCCCTATTCACTAAGCCCCTCCCTCTAGTCATGAAAGCCCTGGCGGTAGCCCAAGCCCCTCCCCTCTTCCCCAAGGCCCACCTGTAGTCTCTTAAGCCCCGCCCCTATTCCCCAAAGCCCTGCCCCTATTCATCAAGGGCCTTCCTCTGATCACGAAAGCCCCACCTATAGTCTCCTAAGCCCCTCCCCTCTTCCTCTAAGCCCCTCCCTCTAATCATGAAAGCCCTGCCTGTAGCCTAAGCCCCTCCCCTCTTCCTCAAGACCCCTCCCCTTTTCACTGAAGCCCCTCCCCTATTCACTAAGCCCCTCCTAATCATGGAAGCCCTGCCTGTAGCCTAAGCCCCTCCCCTCTTCCCCAAGACCCCTTCCGTTTTCACCAAAGCCCCTCCCCTATTCACTAAGCCCCTCCCTCTAGTCATGAAAGACCTACCTGTAGCTTATGCCCCTCCCCTCTTCCCCGACCCCACCTGTAGTCTCTTAAGCTCCACCTCTTCCCAAAGGCCCCTCCCCTATTCACTGAAGCCCCTCCCCTATTCACCAAGACTCACCTGTAGTCTCTTAAGCCCCGCCTCTATTCTCCAAAGCCCCTCCCCTATTCAAGATCCTTTCATCACAAAAGCCCCACCTATAGTGTCCTAAGCCCCGCCCCCTTCCTCTGATCACGAAAGCCCCACCTATAGTCTCCTAAGCCCCTCCCCTCTTCACTAAGCCCCTCCCTCTAATCATGAAAGCCCTGCCTGTAGTCTAAGCCCCTCCCCTCTTCCCCAAAGCCCCTCTCCTGTTCACCAAGACCCACCTGTAGTCGCTTAAGCCCCTCCCCTATTCCCCAAGGCTGTCCCCTATTTACTAACACCCACCTGTATTCTTGTAAGCCCCTCCCCTCTTCCCCAAGCCCCTCCCTTTTTGCCCAAGCCCCGCCCCTCACCTCGTAGGCCTCTCCGGTGAAGTCCGCCCCGCAGAACTCGCATTTGAGGTGCCGCTGGGGGCAGTCGTGCTGGAGGTGTGGCGGGAGGTCTCGCCGGCTGAGCTTGACCCCGCAGCGGTTGGGGCAGGGCACCACGTTGAAGCTGCAGGTGCCCAGGTGGGCCTTTCGGAGAGGGAACACACGGGATGATTGGCACCCCAAAGGAGGAAAAGGCGGGGCGGCGTTTTCCCCAGAGACCCCCCCCCCGAGGGCATCACCTGGGCCCGCCCGCTTTACCTGCAAATGGCGGATGGTCCCGCTCCAACGGCAGCCCTCTTCACTGTGGATGCAACGGATGGTCAGGTTGAGCACCTGCGCCTCGAGGTCGGGGTCCGGATAGATCTAGGAGAGGGGGGAGGGGATTTCCGTCTGTTAGGAATGGTGGGAGTCCAAAACACCTGGGGGAGGGCCCACACCTGCGACACGGGGAAGCTCACCTTGGCGTAGTCCAGGGGCAACTGATCTTCGGGGCACTTGAAGACGCCTTCGCTGCAAGAGGAAATACGATAATATGCTGAAGGCTTTGATGTGGTCGAAACGTCAGGAGAGAATGCTTCCGGAACACGGCAAACTCAATATAGTGAAGCATAACCCAGTAAGGGACGAGAATTCCCCGTCGATACAAACACTCCGCTCGTTGGAAAGCATTCTCCTCCTTAAGGCTCCAGCAAAAATTGCCCCTAATCCCCTCCATCTGTCGAAACGGTCAAACCGGGCCCATAACCACCTGCCGGGTTTGGCACTCAAACCCCATTGAAAAGAGTGTCCGGACACACTATGCAAAAGACGCAAAAGACCCCAATGGATGATTGTGTGTGTTTCTGTGGGCCAGCTGCCCTGTTGCAATGGGTTGGCACAGGTGTTGGCGCAAATGGGAAGTAAACAACGCAGGAAGAAAAGGGTGTTTGTGGACTACAGCTCCCAAAATGCAGCCGGGGGATGAAGGGAACTGCCGTCCGAAAGCAGGGATCAATAGCATGCCAGCCGGGCAAAGGTCGCTCTCTGGTGCCAACTGGCCACGCGCCCACGGGGTTGTGCCAAGCGTCCAGTCATTGACCTCTCGGCTTGGCCAGCAATGGGTCGGAATGGCCATCTTGGCAGGGCGCGCTTCCTAATTGGTGCCCACTTTGCTGGACTACGAGACAGATATACACAAAACACACACATAAATATACACACATAAACACACAAAACACATATACACACACTGGGCCACAGCAACATGTGTCAGGGGATGGCTAGTAAATTAATAGTGATATAATATAAAATATAAAAATAATAGGAAAATTAATATAATATAAAAATATAATAGTATATAAATTAATAATTATATAATATAAAATAGTATAAAAATAATATAAAATATAGTAAGTGTATAAATATAATAATATTATATATTATTTATTTATATAATAATATAAAAATGATAAAAATATAATATAAAATTGTAATACTATATAAATTAATAACGATATAATATAAAATATAAAAATTGTCAGAAAATTAATATAATATAAAATATAATAGTATATAAATTAATAATAACGATATAATATAAAATAGTTTAAAATAATATAAAATATAGTAAGCGTATAAATAACTAATAATATAAAAATATAAAAATGATAAAAATAATTAAAATATAATATAACATTATAATACTATATAAATTAATAACGATATAATATAAAATATAAAATTAGAAAATTAATATAATATAAAAATGTAATAGTATACAAATTAATAATAGCGATATAATATAAAGTAGTATAAAAATAAATAAAATATAGTAAGTGTATAAATAACTATAATATAAAATATTATAAAATAATATATTTAATATAAAAATGATAAAAATAATAATTTATATAATATAAAAATATACTATACAAATTAATAACAGTATAATAATATAAAATATAATAAATAATATATAAAATATAGTATATAAATGATTAATAACAATATAATATGAAAATGATAAGGCTTTTCGAAGGATTTATTTTGGGCGGAAGAGTTCAATATTCTACTCCAGGGCCAAAGGGAGGGTCTGGTAAGTGACGCTTTGGGAGGAAGGCTTCCACGAGAAGGGCCTCTGAATGGCAAAGGATGGGGATTAATCCCCCAACCCCAACCCCAACCCCAAATGTAATGTTTGCGCTTGGCTGGGCAAGAATGTGCTGAAGCAGCAACAGCAGAGGGAGGAGGAGTTGGAGAACACCATGCCAAAGTTTCCCTCTTTTAGGGGACTGCAATGCCCATCATCCCCTGCCAATCTAACTCCCCCCCCCTCCTTTGGGATACGGACTGCAGATCCCATCATCCTCTCGTCCCACTAAACAAGTCCGGGCAAAACAAAGCCACAAATGCAATACAAACAACAAAGGGGGATTCTTTCTCTGCCAATCCTTTGTTCAGGCCAGACGCCTCTCAAAGTCTCAGGAATGCAGGTAACTTACTGGTTCTAATCACTTACCAGGTTCATATACTGGTCCTGGGCAAACTCTGGTCCTCCCGGTGTTTTGGACTCCAACTTCCACCATTCCTCACAGCCTCAGGCCCCTTCCCTTTCCCCCTCAGCTGCTTAAACATATGCACTCACACATATATATACATCCACACACACACATATATATATATACACACACACACACACACATATAAATAGATTGGGCCACAGCAACGCATGGCAGGAAACGGCTAGTATTACTCTAATATAGTCATATTATGAGAAACTGCAAGTCGCTTCTGGTGTGAGAGAATTTTGGTGTTGAGAAGGTGGGTTGCAAGGTCGTAAAATGGAAGGAGTAAACATGCCCAGGCATTGATGGGAAGCCCACCTGGGGCCGTGTGGGTTCTGGTCCAATAACAGAATACGGTGGCCCTCCTTGCCATTTTGGAACTGAAAAAACGCTCTAACTCACTGGGTTCATGAACATACTGGGATCCCTTACTGGTTTGGTGAACTTACTAGGATTCCTAACTGGGTCTGTGGACTGGGATCCCTAACTGGCTTCATTAACTCACTGGGATCCCCGACTGGTTTCATGAACTTACTGGGAACCCTTAGTGGGCCCATGAACGAACTGGGATCCCTCACTGGCTTCGTGAACTTACTGGGATCCCGTACTGGGTCCATTAACTGACTGGGATCACTGACTGGTTTTATGAACTACCTGGAATCCTTTCCTGAGTCTATGAATTTACTGGGATTTGTTACTGGTTTCATAAACTCACTGGGATCCCTTACTTGTTCCATGACCTCACTGGGATCCCTCACTGGTTTCATGAACTAACAGGAATCCCTTCCTGAGTCTGAACTGACTGGTTCATGAACTCACTGGGATCCCTTGATGGGTTAAGTTACTGGGATCCCTTACTGGGTCTGTGCACTAACTGGGATCTCTCACTGAGCCCATGAACTGTTACTGGGTTCATGAACTGACTGGGTTCATGAAGTCTCTGGGATCCCTTACTGGTTTCATGAACTGGCTGGGATGCTTGACTGGGTTCATGAATACACTGGGATCCCTTGATGGGTTAAGTCACTGAGATCCCTTACTGGGTCCGTGCATTAACTGGGATCCCTTACTGGGCCCATGAACTGTTACTGGGTTCATGAACTGATTTGGGATCCCTTGCTGGGTTCATTAAGTCTCCGAGATCCCTTACTGGTTTCATGAACTGGCTGGGATGCTTGACTTGTTTTATGAACACACTGGGATCCCTTGATGGGTTAAGTCACTGAGATCCCTTACTGGGTCCGTGCACTAACTGGGATCCCATACTGGGCCCATGAACTCACTGGGATCTCTTACTGGGTTAAGTCTCCGAGATCCCTTACCGGGTCCATGAGCTCACTGGGATCTGTCACTGGTTTCATGAACTCACTGGGATCCCTTGATAGGTTAAGTCACTGGGATCCCTTACTGGGCCCATGAACTGTTACTGGGCTCATGAACTCACTGGGATGTCTTACTGGCTGTCCTAACTGGTGTTGATGACTGGTCACCCATCCTGGTTGCCCAAAGAGACGGGTTTTGTTCCCTTCGTTGACTGGGATTCCTCACTGGCTTCACTCCCTCCACTGACTGGGAGCCCTGACTGGTTCTGCTGACTTACTGGTTTGGCTCCAAAGGGATCGACGACCTGGCTTCTCACTGGATTCCCCAACAGGACCCTTTGGGGCACCCAGGAAAGAAAGAGAAAACAACGGCGGGGGGGTGTGGGGGGGGGCTTCGAGCCTTGATTTTTCCACAAACAGCACCCTGCACATCCTCGGGGGGGGGGGGTAAAATAAAGGTAATTAGACCCCCCCCCCAAATAAAACTATGGCTGTATCTCTGTGTATGGGAGGGGGCGCCTGTGCCAAAGAAGGCGGAGAAACCAAAGGAAACAAAGGAGAGGCGCAGTGCCAAGGCCTCGAGGAAAGCCGAGGAGAGAGGAGGGCGCCTTGGAGAGGCCCTGGGGGCACACACTTGGAGACCCCCAAAATGGCATAGGAAGGCCCAGCACTGGCGGATAAAGGGGGGCACCCGATAGAGGAGAGTCCAATCTTTCGGGGGGTGGGTCACAAGGGGGGGGTGTCACCTGAGGAATTCCTGGAAGGAGGAAAAGGAGAAGGGGCATTCGAGGGAGTGCGCCCTTGGAGAGGCGCTGGGGGGACCCACTTGGAGCCCCCCCGAAATGACACAGAAAGGCCCAGGAGGGGCGGATAAAGGGGTCCAGCGGATAGAGGGGCGTCCAACCTTTCCGGGGGGGTGGGTCACAAGGGGGGGGTGTCACCTGAAGAATTCAGGGAAGGAAGGAAAACAAGAAGGGGCATTCAAGGGATTGCAATGCCTTTGGAGAGGCGCTGGGGGGACTCATTTGGAGACCCCCAAAATGGCATAGAAAGGCCCAGCAGAGGCGGGTAAAGGGGGGCACCGGATAGAGGGTCACCCAAGCTTTCGGGAGGTGGGTCACAAGGGGGGGGTGTCACCTGAGGAATTCCTGGAAGGAGGAAAAGGAGAAGGGGCATTCGAGGGAGTGCGCCCTTGGAGAGGCGCTGGGGGGACCCACTTGGAGCCCCCCCGAAATGACACAGAAAGGCCCAGGAGGGGCGGATAAAGGGGTCCAGCGGATAGAGGGGCGTCCAACCTTTCAGGAGGTGGGTCTCACCTGAGGAATTCCTGGAAGGAAGGAGGACAATGGGGAAGGAAAGGAGAAGGGACATTCAAGGGATTGCAATGCCTTTGGAGAGGCGGTGGGGGGACCCACTTGTAGCCCCTCAAAATGGCATAGGAAGGCCAAGTAGAGGTGGATAAAGGGGGACAGCGGATAGAGGGGTGTCTAAGCTTTCAGGAGGTGGGTCACAAGGGGGGGGGTCACTTAAGGAATTCCTGAAAGGAGGAAAAGAATGAGGGGTATTCAAGGGATTGCAATGCCTTTGGAGAGGCGCGGGGGGGGGACCCACTTGGAGCCCCCAAAATGGCATAAGAAGGCCCAGCAGAGTCGGATAAAGGGGTCCATCGGATAGAGGGGAGTTCAACCTTTCAGGAGGTGGGTCTCAAGGGGGGGGGGGTCACAAGGAATTCCTGGAAGGAGGAAAAGGAGAAGGGGCATTCAAAGGATTACAATGTCTTTGGAAAGGTGCTAGGGGGACCCACTTGGAGCCCCCCAAAATGGCATAGAAAGACCCAGGAGGGGCTGATAAAGGGGGGGCAGCGGATAGAGGGGCGTTCAAGCTTTCAGGAGGTGGGTCACAAGGGGGGGGGGGTCACTTAAGGAATTCCTGGAAGGAGGAAAAGAAATAGGGGCATTCAAGGGAGTGCACCTTTGGAGAGGTGCTGGGGGGGACTCACTTGGAGCCCCCCAAAATGGCATGGAAAGGCCCAGGAGGGGCGGATAAAGGGATCCATCGGCTAGAGGGGCGTCCAAGCTTTCAGGAGAGGGGTCCCAAGGGGGGTTGGCATTTAAGGAATTCCTGGAAGGAGGAAAGGAAAGAGGGGCATTCAAGGGAGTGCACCTTTGGAGAGGTGCTGGGGGGGGACTCACTTGGAGCCCCCCAAAATGGCATAGAAAGGCCCAGCAGAGGCGGATAAAGGGGGGCATCAGATAGAGGGGAATCCAAGCTTTCAGGAGGTGGGTCAAAAGGGGGGGGGGGTTTCGCTTAAGGAATCCCTGCAAGGAAGGAGGAAAAAGGGGGCATTAAAGGGAGTGCACCTTTGGAGAGGTGCTGGGGGGGACTCACTTGGAGCCCCCCAAAATGGCATGGAAAGGCCCAGGAGGGGCGGATAAAGGGATCCATCGGCTAGAGGGGCGTCCAAGCTTTCAGGAGAGGGGTCCCAAGGGGGGTTGGCATTTAAGGAATTCCTGAAAGGAAGGAGGAAAAAGGAGAGCTCTTTGAAGGGAGAGGTGCTAGGGGGGCCCCCACTTGGAGCGCCCCAAAAGGGCATGGAAAGGCCCAGGAGGGGCGGGTAAGTGGGTCCATCGGATAGGGGAGAGTCCAAGCTTTCAGGAGAGGGGTCGCAAGGGGGGGTCTCACCTGAGGAATTCCTGGAGGCAGGTGTCGCAGAAGCGGTGCCCGCAGGTGGAGACGCGGACGGGCTCCCGCATGGCCTTGGCGCAGAGCGGGCAGAGCAGGCGCCGCTTCGGCTTCTCCAGGAACTTGTAGTCGAAGCCAGGCATGGCGGAGGAGGAGGAGGAAGGAGCCAGCCCAAGAGGGAGGCCCAAGCCCGAGGCGGCCGGCTCCCCGCCCGAGAGAGGCGCCCGGCCCTCCCTCGCCCTCCGCCAGGCCCCGGACACGCCCCCTACGACGCCTCGCCCGCCCATTGGGCCACGCCAACAGAAGACACGCCCCCTTGAGGTTGCCAACTGACCTCCCCTTCCCTTGCTCCTCTGCTCCTATTATTATATTATATTATATTATATTATATTATATTATATTATATTATATTATATTATATTATATTATATTATATTATATTATATTATATTATATTATATTATATTATATTATATTATATTATAGGTTCTTGTGGGTTTTTTCGGGCTATTATATATAATATAATATTATTATATTGTATTATAATCAGAATTTGGCCATGAGTGATGGCCTAGGATGATTACGATATTATGATATTATGATTATTATTATTATATATTAGGTATGTTATAATATATTATATAATATATTATAAAATATATTTTATATTATTATATAAAAATATATATTATAAAATATAATATATATTTTATATTATAATATTTTGCTATATTTTTATATTATAATATATATTAGAATATATTATATAATAATATAATATATATATTATAATACATATAGGTATAATATATCATATAATATATTGTAATATATATATATTATATATATATATAAATATATATATTATAATATATAATATATTTTATATTATAATATATTTTAACGTTATATTTTTATATTACAATTCAGAATTTGGCCATGAGGGAGAGCCTAGGAGGATTATGATATTATATTTCTTATTATTATATTAGGTATGTTAGAATATATTATATAATACATTTTATATTAGAATATATTATAATGTTATATTTTTATATTATAATATATATTATAATGTATTAGAATATATTAGAATATATATTTTATAATGTTGTTCATTCGTTCAGTCGTCTCCAACTCTTTGTGACCTCACGGACCAGCCCACGCCAGAGCTCCCTGTCGACCGTCACCACCCCCAGCTCCTCCAAGGTCAGTCCAGTCACTTCAAGGATGCCATCCCTCCACCTTGCCCTTGGTCGGCCCCTCTTCCTTTTGCCTTCCCCTTTCCCCAGCATCATTCCCTTCTCTAGGCTTTCCTGTCTCCTCATGATGTGGCCTTCAAAGGACTTCCGCTTTCCCTCTTGTCTCCTTCCCTCCAGTGAGCAGTCGGGCTTTCTTTCCTGGAGGGTGGACTGGTTGGATCTTCTCGCAGTCCAAGGCACTCTCAGCACTTTCCTCCAACACCACAGCTCAAAAGCATCGATCTTCCTTGGCTCAGCCTTCCCGAAGGTCCAGCTCTCACATCCGTAGGTGACTACAGGGAATACCATGGCTTGGACTAGGCAATGGATCTTGGTTGCCAGTCTGATGTCTCTGCTCTTCACTCTTTATCGAGACTGGACATTGCTCTCCTCCCAAGAAGGAAGCGTCTTCTGATTTCCTGGCCACAGTCTGCATCTGCACTCATCTTTGCGCCTAGAAATACAAAGTCTGTCACGGCCTCCACATTTTCTCCCTCTATTTCCCAGTTGTCAATCATTCTTGACAATCATTATAATATATTAGGTATGTTATAATATATTATAAAATATATTTTATATTATTATATAAAAATATATATTATAAAATATATTATATATTTTATATTACAATATGTTATATTTTTATATTATAATATATATTAGAATATATTATATAATAATATATAATATATATTACATTATATAACATGTTATATTTTTATATTATAATATATATTAGAATAAATTATAATATATAATATATTTTATAATATATTCTAATATATTTTATTATATATTTTATATTATAATGTCATAACATATAATATATAACGTATTTTATGTTATAATATATAACATATTTTATATTATAATATGTTATATGTTTTATATTATATTATATAGATTATATTATATATAATTATATAATATATATTATTATAACATATTACTAATGTAATATAATACAAATATATTAACATAATATAGTAATATCATGAGGAACTGCAAGTGAAAGAATTTATAATATGTTGTAATATGTTATAATATATTTTATTAATTTAATAACAATAATATATTATTGTTATTAAATTAATAAAAATTAATAAAATTATTATTAATAATAAACTAAACTAATTGTTCTTAATGATACTAATACTATAGATCCCAAAGTGGCACCAATACCAAGGCCGCTTTCCTCTCCTGATGGAGACCAGATGAGATCCTCCAATTGCGATTGTTAGTGGATTGTGGGTGCTGCAGTCCCAAAAGGGAGAACACCTCCAAAGAAGGGAATAGACCTTTATTATTGTTGTTGTTGTTCTTAATGACACTAACACCACATCTCCCAAAATGGCACCAATGCAGAGGACTCTTTCCCAGGTGAGATCGTTAGGGGATTGTGGGCTCTGCAGTGCCAACGAGAGGCACCCAATGGCCTTCCAATGGGGAAGTGGCACAGGATCTGAGGCCTAGGGAGGCGAGATCTCTCTCTCTGCTCCAGTTGAAAAGGAATGTCCCCCAAGGGCACAGACAAGGGGAAGCCACCTCCGCCTCACCTGGCGGGCAGGTAAAGGCCTCTCCCAGGTGTTGCTATGACGTCTGGGTTCCCCTGGCAACAGCAGTAGGGGCAAAGAATGCACACACACACACACACACCCCATAGACACGTAAGGAACATGGCAACGGGCACAAGCCCAGGCTCGCCGGCCATCAAACAGACCTGATCGAGAGAGGAATCCCTGAATGGGATCCTTTCAAGGCCTTGCATCCGAGTCCACCTCCTCCCTCGCTTTGTGTTTTCTTTTTTCTCATCCTTTCCTGTTTTTCTGAGGACAGAAAACACCAAAGCTGGAACCGAAAAATAGAAAAAAGGATGAAACTTAAGAGAAAGCAGGAAATAATAATAATAATAATAATAATAATAATAGTAGTAGTATACAAGAGCCAGCAGTGTGACCTTGTCTGCTGTGGACTCATCTTGTTGTGTTTCTAATAATAATAATAATAATAATAATAATAATAATAATAATAATCCAATACAACAGCCAGCAGAGTGATCTTGTCTTAATGTGTTGTGTTTCTAATAATAATAATAATAATAATAATAATAATAATAATAATAATAATCGAATACAACATGCAGCAGAGTGATCTTGTCTGATGTGGACTCATCTTGTTGTGTTTCTAATAATAATAATAATAATAATCCAATACAACAGCCAGCAGAGTGATCTTGTCTTAATGTGTTGTGTTTCTAATAATAATAATAATAATAATAATAATAATAATAATAATAATAATCGAATACAACATGCAGCAGAGTGATCTTGTCTGATGTGGACTCATCTTGTTGTGAGGAAAGAAAGCAAATGAAGAAGAGAAAGGGAGGGAAGGAAAGAAAGAAAGAAAGAAAAGGAAGTATGGAACTACAGAGCGAAGGAAGGAAGGAAAGAGAAAGAGAGGGAAGAAAGGAGACAAAGAGGAAGGAAGGAAGGAAGGAAGGAAGGAAGGAAGGAAGGAAAGAAGGAAGGCAGGTATATCAGAGAAGAAAGGTAGGAAATAAACAAAAGGAGGGAAGGGGAAGGGAAGGTGTATGAAAAAAGGAAGGAAGGAGAAGTTGGGAAAGTATATGAGGGAAGAAAGGGAGGAAAGAAAGAAGAAAGAGAGAGTAGGAGCATGGGAAAGAAGGGAGAAAGGAAGGAAGGAAGAAGAAAGGAGCGGAAGGGAAGGTGTAGGAACGAAGGAAAGGAAGGAAGAAAAGGCAGAAGAAAAGGGAAGAAAGAAAGCAAATGAAGAAGAGAAAGGGAGGGAGGTGTAGGTATTTATTACAATTCATTAACTGACTAATGAATTAATTAATTAGTAATTAATTATTAATTAGTATATTTGTTAAATATAATGAATATTTAACTACATACGAATTAATTAATGAAAGAACTATATTTGATAAATTATACCAAAGAGGTAAGTAAATAAAAAGTATTATTATTTAAAGTATTTACATAATTAATTATTAGAGAGGAAGAAAAAATGTGAAGTGATTAAATACGCAGCAAGGAATATAGTAGATAGTGCCTGAGAAATTACTCATGTTTAATTACATAATTATTATAATGAGTAAAAGCAAACAGCTAAGGAAGGAAGTAAACAGGTAGAGAAGGAAGAAAGGAAAGAAGAAAAGGGAATGAAGGAAGGAGTGAAAGAAGCAGAGAAAGAGGGAGAGAAGGCTGGCCACAGCAACGCGTGGCGGGTAAAGCTAGTAATAATAATAATAATAATAATAATAATAATAATGTCTCTGGAGACCAGATTTCGACTCTGATCTCAGGCGGCACTCTCTCAGCCTCAGAGTGGACAATGTCTTCAGAACACGTCTTGCCAATCACGCAATCGGACCTTGGGATAAATAGTTTCATTGTGGGTTGGGAAGGAAAACAAACCAGAGCCAGGCAGATCAGGACCTTGCTTTGCAAAAGGAGAATTTTCACCCTCATTTCCCAAGCTAAAAAGGAAAAGCCATGGCCATGTTGGTTCCATTCCACCTCCTGTTTGTTTAATGCAGGCCGGATGATGATGCCAAATATTGGCTCAGCCCAGTCAGGCATGGCCACGGCCGGCCGTGCCTTGGAGGTGACTTTTTCCGAGCAGGTTTGTCCACCTCGGACGGACCACGAGGGCCTTTGGTGGCTCCGAAAGACAGGCAAGTAACGGTCAAGTCTCAGCAGAAGATGGAGAAGATTCCGCAATGGGTTTGGATGCGATGCGCCTGGCTGGACTTCACAGAAAAACCCCGGGTTCCCGTGTGGTCACTTGACCTGTTTGGTGCCGCCTTGCCTGTTCCGTCTGCTCCATTCCTGCGTGGGTGGGGTGGCCCACCTGCCCACTCGTACAGCACACCTGGTCGCAGAATACAAATACATACCTATCTATCTCTCTATCCATCCATATACTAGCCTGGCCCTGCCACGTATTGCTGTGGCCCAGTCTGTATATGTGTGTGTGTATATATATATCTATTTGTATTAATGTGTATATATAGATGTGTGTGTGTGTATATGTATTTGTGTATGTGTGTATATATGTGTGTATATATATATGTGTGTGTGTATTTATTTTTCTGTATATGTGTATATATGTGTGTGTGTGTATATATATATATTTGTATTAATGTGTATATATAGATGTGTGTGTGTATATATATATGTGTGTGTATATGTGTATATAAGGTAAAGGTAGTCCCCTGACATTAAGTCCAGTCATGTCTGACTCTGGGGTGTGGTGTTCATCTCCATTTCTAAGCCGAAGAGCCAGCGTTGTCCGTAGACACCTCCAAGGTCATGTGGCCACTGGCATGACTGCATGGAGTGCCGTTACCTTCCCGCCGGAGCGGTACCTATTGATCTACTCACATTTGCATGCTTTCGAACTGCTGGGTTGTCAGAAGCTAGGGCTGACAGCGGAAGCTCACGCTGCTCCCCAGAATCGAACACACACACACACATATATATATATGTGTGTGTGTGTTTGTATGTGTATATATTTGTGTATATATATATATATATTTGTGTATATGTGTATATATAGGTGTGTGTATATGTGTATATATATGTGTGTGTGTGCATGTGTATATATATATTTGTGTAGATGTGTATATATGAGTGTGTGTATATATATATTTGTGTAGATGTGTATATATATATATATATTTGTGTATACGTGTATATATAGGTGTGTGTATATATATATTTGTGTATATGTGTATATATGTGTGTGCATATATTTGTGTATATTTGTATATATATGTGTGTGTGTGTATGTGTATTGTGTATATGTGTGTGCTTGTGTATATGCATATATGTGTGTATATGTGTATATATACACATGTAGGTATATATGTGTATATATACACATGTAGGTGTATGTGTATGTATGTATGTGCATATTTGTGTGTGCGTATATGTGTGGCTGCATGCATGTGTGCATGTGTATATGTATATGAATGTATGTGTACATGTATATATGGTTTGTTTTGGGGGCTTTTAAAGTCCATTCTGCTGTTTGTGTGTGTGTGTTTTAGGGTGACGGAGACACGTTGGACTATTAGTTGTATTGTGTCAAAATGTCATGTCAGTCCATCCACTGGTTTCTGAGTGATGTTTCTCCCACAAATAAACATTACACTACATTACATTATATATATTACGTATATATTGCCTGGATCTCTTTGGCAGGCTTTGAGAAGCAAATCTCAATGCACTCCAGGTACAAACCACTACTTCTCCCTTTTGGGGATTCTGGGAGAGAGTGGGAGGAGCCAAGTGTTGGGAACCATGGCCCGAAACCTTTGTGGTTTCAGTCACTGGACGAATGGCCGATGGCCAGAGTGATAAGGCCTAGCTCATGTTTGTGGCTTGGAGGTGACCCCCCGGGCCTCGATTGCCCATTAACTTCATGTTTGCTTTAATCTCTGTGTTGTCAAAGGTTTCCATGAATCACTGGGTAGCTGTGAGTTTTCCAGGCTGCCTGGCCATGTTCCAGAAGCATTCTCTCCTGACGTTTCACCCACATCTATGGCCAGCACCCTCAGAGGTTGTGAAGTCTGTTGGAAACTAGGCAAGTGGGAGAAAGAACTCTTTGTCTGTTGGACGCAACTGGGAATGTTGCCATTGGCCAGCTTGATTAGCATCGAATGGCCTTGCAGCTTCAAAGCCTGGCTGCTTCCTGCCTGGGGGAATCCTTTGTTGGGAGGTGGGAGAAAGAACTCTTGTCTACTTGAGGCAAGTGTGAATGTTTCCCTTGGCCACCTTGATTAGCACTGAATGGCCTTGCAGCTTCAAAGCCTGGCTGGTTGCTTCCTTTCTTGGGAAGTGATTGCAGCAATCAGCCAGGTTTTGAAGGTGCAACCCAATAACAATAACTGATTAGCATTGAATGGCCTTGCAGTTTCAAAGCTTGGCTGTTTCCTCACAGCAACCCAATCACCACTCTGTTCTGTCTTATTGAAAACTCACTTTTTTCCTTCCTTCCTTCCTTCCTTCCTTCCTTCCTTCCTTCCTTCCCTCTCTCCCGCTTCATCAACTGCTTCCCAACCTGCAGGAGATGTCAACATTATTAATTTTTATTATTGATTTTAAAAAATATATAAATGTAATAATTATTAAAAAATATTAAATATTTTTATTAAAATACTATTAAAATAAACATTGTTTAGAAATATAAACATTTATATTATTTATAATATTGTTTAAAATACAAATATTGAAAAATATACATATTTATATTTATAATATTGATTTAA